TAACTCGGTCCCATGTCTCAAGTCCAAATACTCCTTGTCCAACCTCTCCTGCTCCACCAATGGAACATATCTCGAGTAGAACATCTTAGATAACTGCTCCCATGATACTGTAGTTCGTTGTACTGGGTGCATGAACTAGTAATAAGCCTCCACCAATCCTTTACTCTAGACCGAAGAAGGTTCATATCACACTTGACCTTCTGGTCAGCTGGGCAATAGCAAGTAAAGAAACATCTCGATATCTGACAACCACCACCTTACGGAAATGATCGGATCCTAGACCTCGTCAAACACTAGGGGCTTCGTATTGTTGAAGTATCGGTACTGAAAAGCTCTCCCATCGCCAATCCCGGCCGCAACGACGACCATGGTAGCTATAGTAGCGGAAATCTCGGAAAGTGCAACGTATTGGTCATCGAAGAACTCCATCATAGCCGTCTTGATAGACCCAAATAGCTCAGGTATCTTCCCCAAGATAATAGAAACAACATCCTTATGAATGATCTCTCTAACCCGGTCCTCAGTCAATCCTGGCCCATCCTGCTCACCTGTCCCGACTTCTGATCCCAATCCTGCCTCAAATCGCCTCACAACCACCATACTAAAAATAAACTATGGAGATATCAAATAACCCGTATATCATACCATAGGAACCATATCCAACAAACCCTAAGGTTTGTGACTTCCTTTCTATGTATATGGGTCCTCTGCTTCCGATAGTACAGGGTCATACTACCTTCCACACCTACCCGTGTTTGTCTTAGAAGATCATCACAACAAACCTAACGACATTCACTAGATTATACATACACCTTAAACTCACTTCCTAGAGAAAGGCTATACATCCCTCGACCGGTCGGCTGACCCCACATAACTCATTTATGAAACTTCCACCAACCCTCCAACGCTAATGCATGCTAACCATACATAACACTAGATCCTATAGGCATTCAAATACTTGATTCTATCCTAATCCCACAACCAAACAAGGAACTAGAATAAGGTGAAATCAAACATTCTCAAGCTATAAAATCTTAGTTGTGTACAATTTTGATGCATACACTAAGCAATTACAGTAATGATGTCAATTTCATATAAGGAAGAACCCTAGGCTATCAGGCATCATATAATTAAGAAATTCTATCATGAAATTCCTAAAGATCCCTAGCCTATCACTAGAATATTGTTCTACATAACATAATAACAGCTAACTGTGTGGTAACTTGGGGTATAATTATTGGCTCCGGTTGATCGTACACATTGCATCATTCCTTGGTTACTTTTGAAAACAATTTTGAATATCATTTTGAAACCTTTAAAGATCCTTAGTTTGAGTATGGACTCGTACAAATGCTTATCCAATTCACTCAAACCAACGCTCTGATACCAACTTGTAACATCTGAAAAATCATTAACAATTTTAAACTTTTCAAAACAACCCATGATCATAAAATGTTTACAAAATCATTGTTTCTAAAATGTTTAACAATATCAGAGTAACCCAAAATCATAAGGTTATGAAGCAGGAGGATGTGTACGGTCACACCTTTTCCTTCCCGCGATCATCAGAAGTACATGAAACAATAAACTAAAACCGTAACCCAAAGCTTAGTGAGTTCCCACAAAGTACCACCATATAAACACAACAAACAACAACATGCATAAATGAGTCTTCAACTTGACTACACTTTTGCAGGACCTACAACCTATCTGGACCGCTCCCGAGCCATCGACATGACTCGATCGCCTCATAGGTCATATAACCTCTCCGGACCGCTCGCCCGGCCTTCGGCATGACTTGACCACATCTCAGGGCCTACAACCTATCTGGACTACCCCGGGTATCTTGGCCTTCAGCAAAAAGCAAGATCGCCTCACCCCAACCAACCATAAACAGGTCGACATATACATAACAGATAAACATATAACCAGTCAACAGACAACATGCAGATCTACAAATCACTACCTCATGTTAACATCCTATATATCGGGATACCGATCTAAAAGACCTCTACAACATAATCACATACTATCATATAACAGGATATCCAATCCAATGGGCCGACATTGGTGCCTTCGACCCACTAGTATAGTGAGGACGACTCACCTCTCAATATGAACAATAGCTGATGAGGTCCCAACTCCTAATCTCAGCTCTAACTGACACCTATCCATCCAAATGACCAATTCTCAACCACAACCTAAAATAACCTCAAGTCAAACTTTGGTCAACCTTAGCCAAGTCAAAGTCAAAATCAACACCTAGTCGAGGCAAGCTAGCCAAGTCAACTCAACCGAGTATGTTGGCCATACTCTTTTGTACGTGGGGTATACTCAGTGTTTGACTAACTTACAGGGAGCTGACCACGTACACGCAACGTACCACTTGGTACACCCAGCGTATATGCCATGTTTAACCCTTTTTCCATTAAGATCTTAATACTCAAAATCTTCACTTCCAAAGTTAAATCCAATGATAAATACCATTATGAGTCATAAAGTTTCCAACTTTATAACTTTACATGCCCATTAAGTGCTTAAAACACAAAATCTAAACATCTTAATGCATTAAGACATATTATAGCATGTATGGAGTGGAACTAAACCTCAAGACTACATTTTTATGACTCAAGACCCCTCATAAGGTCTGAAAGGACGACTTATTGGGTCAAGAACATGCCATGCTCAAGAATAACCATTTTTGGAACAAAAAGTGTCTTAAAGGAAGAAATGTCTAGATCTACAAGATAGAGTGATCAAGATGTACTTTTTACCTTCTGGAGGTTTCTATCAAGAAGGAAATCTCAGATCCAAGATGCTTCCTAAACTCTAAGATCTTCTCACCACTCTATTCTTCTTCAAGAACACTTCTAAACACCCCAAAGGGATCCAAAATGCACTCGTTGACTTACGGTTTTCTTGGGGTCGTTTATCATAGACGGAGGTTGAAGAAGAAGAAGTGAGATATGAGGCTATAATGAGGTTTAAATATGGACCAAACCCTAAAAATTAGGGTTTTCCATTTCTTCACGTATGCCCCGCGTACGAGGTATACGCACAACGTACACAACATACGCTCAGCGTACTACACTTAGGTAAAATTACTATATTGCCACTATAGGCCAGTTCCAATCCTTTCCAATCCGAAGGGCTAAAAGGAAACAATATTCAAAAAAGGGGTTGAAATTGAAATTACCTTGACATCGGAATGTTACATTTTGGGAAAAGTTATATGATCTGTTTAAGAAGTAAGTTATTGAGTCACCCATGTCTTGTAGAACATCGAGTGATTCAAGTAAGGATGTATACAAAAAGAAGAATGACACGATGCTTAGTAAAAGCACGAGAGACATGTTAAAGGTAAAAAAAATACTTATCAATATTTTTTATTTTTAACATTAATATTTTTACTCCTAATAATAATTTTCTTTCTTATAGGAGTTCATTGCTTACGAGAGTCAAAAGTTTTCTTTGTCTCAAAGATCGCAGTTGAAGATGTATTTAGATGAGCCAAGAAGTGACATAAGTGATGATTTAGATGTTGTTTCTATTTGGAAAGCACATTAATATCGTTATTCGAAACTTGCTTCCATGGCTCGAGATATTTTAAGCATTTTGTCTCTACTGTAACAGCTAAATCTGCCTTTAGTAATGGTGGTCGTGTTCTTAATCAATATCGAAGTTCTTTGAAGCACGAAATTGTTAAGGCTCTAATTTGTACAAAAGATTGGTTGTTTGGAATTAAAAGTATTTGCGTTTTTACTTGTTGAAAATTTGAATTTATGTTATTAAAATTTTAAAATAACTTTACAGTCATTTTGTTGTTGTGCAGGTGATGAAGTGTTATCTCTACAAGAACTTACCCATAGTGTTATGAAATTGGATGACAAGGATACACATGAGTAGATGAGTGAACTTTTATTTTGTTCTATGTTTGATTGTTTAATAACATGTAGTACCCTTTTATGTTATTTTGTTGTGTTGTCGTGTATATTGTTTTTAAGAATGAATTAAGTAAAATGATGATCTTTTGTTATTTTTTGTCATGTTTGTCGTTTTTTAAGAATGATGTATATAAAAAAAATTATGTTATTTTTTCGTGTTTGTCGTTTTTCTAGTTGGGTCGTGTTTGTGTTGGAAACAAAAAACACAATATAATATCATGTCGTGTTCGGTTTTAGAAAAAACAATTTGTGTCGTGTTGTGTCAGGTAAAAACACAAAACGACCGACCAAATTAACAAACCTAAACTTAATGGTTGTGGTGTTTTCATTTGGTCTCGTAACACCCAACTTTACGATGTTTTCATTTGGTTAGGTTCTATTTTGGATAGACTCGACAATTCGTATCATAAAAACGTGTCAATCACGAATTTTACACAATACAATTTTTATCTCAATTTTCAAGATGTATTATTATCGTGTCGTGTCCCTCACAGATTCGTGTATTCGTATCTAGAATCGCCATCTAATTTTGGATCTATGTTTTTGTTTTGTTTCTAAGATTCTTATTGTAATGGTGGCCGTGACCTACTTGTGGTTTTAGTCTTTTAGAGGGGAGGAGGGTGAGTCTCATTTTGATTTATTTTACTATTTAAATAAATAAAAAATTAATTAGAAAAATCAGTGAATAAAAAATAGTTTCATTCTATTTTGCCTGAGACAAAAAAAAATATACAATGCTGTCCAAATTATAAATAAAAAAAATTAAAAACACAAAGGTAACAACATCAAATGATATGAGGCATTTATAATTTACTCATAATCTATAGTTAATCATATTCAAGATGTATAATGATCCGAATTCGGACGTGATAAAGATGGTAAAAGAAAAATACAAATTCAAAATGCAGAAAATCGTCTAGAAATATGGACCACAAGATGAATTATGAAACCAAAAGATGAACGGCCAAGATTTGCTAAAAGAGCGGCGCGCAAAGAGGCGACTCACACCCCCAGCCACCAGCCAAGCCATCATCCTTCGCTTTTTAACTGGAGACCGATAACTCCATAACCCAACCACCTCCTCTCTCTCTCTCTCTCTCTCTCTCTCTCTCTTCGATCTTTTTACCCAATCTTCCTTTCGCTCTCTCTCTATAAATCTCTCTTAATCTCGCACGTTTTGTCGATTCTCCAACGAGCGAGGGTTTTTCTAGGGTTTCCAAACACACCTTACCCTCTCTATCCAATTGCGATTTTGTTTTCTTTGCCTCGAAGAGCCACGTTTTGTGTTCGACTCTTTCTCTTTGGTACCGTTAATCCAGGGTTCCAATTTTGAAAAAAAGTTACTCTAGGGTTTATTAATTCGTTTGGCCTCTTTACGTTTGGTGTTCCATCCGGGGTTTAGCGGGTATATTAGGTTATTGATTTCATTCTTTCCGCTTGTGTTTCGTGGCATTCGTTTTGAATGTTGTCGATCTGGATCAATTGCTGAATTCATCTTAACGTCGCTTGCGGTTAATACGTGAATGGTTAGATTTGTTTTGCAATCGATTTTGAAACTCGATTCGTAGATTACATGTTAATTGGTTAGATATCTGATATAACCTACATCTGACAATTCTGAATCGGAAACATTTGAGTTTGTTTGATACATTCATACTTCTCAAGATTCTTACCTGGCATCTCTATCTGAATATGAGTTTTGAATAAGTTTGCAAGTTATGGGTATTTATGAACATCGGGAGTTGATGCTTTCAGCTCTTGGGGATTGAGTTTTATGGCACCTACTTTTCCTGTAGAGTTTGCTGGACAAAGAGTTTCAAAGAAGTTATCATCACAAAACAATTTCACTCAAATGATGGGTAAAATAAGGAAAGTTTCTAAAGGCTACTCACATGGGTTTGTACCAGACTACCGCCATGCGGTTGACACCATGGCCAACTCTGAAGGATTTGGTAGCTCAGGGCGTCTTGACACTGAAATGACCGCTTCAGAAGATTCTTGTGCGCCAAACAGGAAGTCTCTTAACTTGAATCCTGATTCTTCCCAACACTTTGGTGTTCCAATTCAAGTGTTGTCTTTATCAAAGCTGTCAAGTGTTGAGAGGAAAGAATTAGGATTGAGATTGAAACATGAGCTTGAACAAGTTAGAACATTACAGAAAAACATTGGAATGGTGAGCGCAAACTCAAATGCAGGGGTTTTGTCACCATCTGATGTTCATAGTTGTAGTGCTGGACAAAGGAGACCCATTCCTGAATACTCTAGATCTATGTCCCTACCAATGCCCAAGAGAAAAGGTCCACCTGGCCGGAGTGGTGGGTCCCGGTCAAAGAAGAGTGGGTCAGCCCGTGTGGAATCTACAAAGAAAGCATTACCTCCAACTTCTGGGACTGGGAATGCCATGTTGATGAAGCAATGTGAGGCACTATTGACTCGGTTGATGGGGCATAGTTTTGGTTGGGTGTTTAATACTCCTGTTGATGTAGTAGCTCTAAAGATTCCAGACTATTACACTGTTATTCAGCATCCAATGGATTTGGGGACAGTGAAAACAAAGTTAATGTCGGGCAGATATATGGATCCATGGGCTTTTGCAGGTGATGTTAGGCTGACTTTTTCAAATGCAATGACATACAATCCACGTGGGAATGATGTGCATATTATGGCTGAAACATTGAGCAAGTATTTTGAAGTCAGATGGAAACCAATCGAGAAGAAGCTGTCAGTTGCCACAGAGGCAGTGGTTCCTATGAGACAGAATGTTGTAGAAACTGAAACTGAAACTGAAACTCCCATTTCCATGCCCCCCTACAAGAAAAAGAAGACGACATCTTTTGGTAATGAAACAAAGCAAGAAGCTGTTAAGAGGACAATGTCAGATGCTGAAAAGCGTAAACTTAGCCTTGAATTGGAGTCTTCAATAACGGATTTACCTGAAAGAATTATTGATTTCCTTAAAGAGAACAGTTCACATGGGAATGCAACAGTGGAGGATGAGATTGAGATTGATATTGATACCCTTAGTGATGATACTCTGTTCAAATTGAGGAAGCTTTTGGATGACCATTTCGTGGAGAAACAGAAAAACATGGTTTTGTTTTTAGAAAGAGAGAAACAGAAAAACATGGTTAAAGATGAAACTTGTGAAATTGAGGTACAAATTTCTTACAAAGATCCCTTTTTACCAAGCTGGTTTTGGGTGATTGTTTTGATTCTGTATGTGTTATTGCAGCTTCACAATGAGTCAGGGTTCAGCAACTCATCTATGCAAGGATGCAAAGGTTTGTTTTATTTATTTATTTATTTATTTCAATGGAAGCTGAAATATGATTGTTTGGGTGGTTGGTTGTAATGTAATTTTGTTGTTAGTTTCAGCTAATGAAGGTAATGAAGAGGATGTGGACATTGGTGGAGATGAGATACCTATTTCAAGCTTCCCTCCAGTAGAGATAGAGAGAGACACAGTTGTGAGGAACAGCAAAAGCAGTAGTTCAAGTAGCTCCAGTAGTGGTTCCGGATCCGCATCTAGTGGTTTGTGTTACTTTGAATTCTCTCATTCTGGACTTGTCATGTGAAATGAAAATATACCAAATAAATCCCCATTCAAATCTCTTATGATGCTATTGCTATTCTTCACATGGTTGGTTATTCATAAACAAGATTCCGTTTCCCACTGCATGTTTGTGCAGAATCAGATTCAGGGAGTTCTTCAGGCAGCGAATCAGATGATGCAAAGGCTCCAACCATTGTCAACAATGCTAAGGTATTCATTCTCTTTACATTATAATAAGTTATGTTGATGATGATGATGATGCTGATTGGTTTCATATTTATAGGACACAATGACAATGGGCAGTGAAGTTAATAATACGGAGCAAATACCTGTTCCTGATGATGCAAAAGGTAATTTGTGAGGTTAATGTAAAAATGAGTGTCCTTTTAAAATTGTTTACAATATCATTTCGTTGTTTGAAAATTTTCAGATTGTGTAAATGGGGAGCAAAAGTGTGATGCAGGTGAAAGTGAAGGGCGTCAAGAGGGTAAGCAATGAAAATAAGGAAGAAAGTGTTGGTTTTGGCCTTTGGGGGATGTCATCTCTAATGCTGGCTACATTATTTTAGGGGAGAGTGATGCTCCTGCTCATGCTCCATCAGAGAAAGAGAGAGAGAGGCAAGTCTCTCCCGATAAGCTTTACCGTGCAGCCCTATTGAGAAGCCGTTTTGCTGACACCATACTCAAGGGCCCAAGAAAAAACCACCGGAAAGGTCTAAATTACCCCTCTTGGCTCTTACTCCATTCCAGACACTGACTTACATGTATATGTATATGTATATCTGTATGTGCTTCAGGTTGAGGAGCAGGACAGGGAGAGGTTGAGGCTTGAGAAGGAGGAAGTAGAAAAGAGAAGAAAACAAGGTTTTTTTTTTTTTTTTTTAAAACATATGTTGTGGATGTTATTATTATTACTGAAGAGTTTGTTGTTTGTTATGGTATAGAAAAAGCTCGATTGGAAGCAGAAGCAAAGGCTGCAGAGGAGGCGCAGAGAAATGCTGAATTAGAAGCTGCAGCTGAAGCCAAAAGGAAGAGGGAACTTGAAAGGGAAGCAGCACGTCAGGCCATACAGAAGGTATTTTTATAAGATGGTGTGTTTGTTGGTTGTAGAATAAAATATAAGTGGGGATTTGTGTGATGTGACAGATGGAAAAGATGGTTGATATAAATGACAATTCTGGGTTTCTGGATGATTTGGAAATGCTAAGCGTAGCACCTGCACAGCCTTTAGAAAGCTTGATAGACGAAACTAGTGCAGACTGTGGTCTTGGTCTGGTGGACCCGAGCCCTCTTCCTTTAGGTTTAGGAGGAGGAGGAGGGAGTGGCAGTGCCTTCAGCTTTGATGGAAAACGTAATCCATTAGAGCAGCTTGGTTTATACATGAAAGATGATGATGAAGATGAAGAGGAAGATGATCCAGAGGAAGGAGAGATCGACTGACTCAACACTTTCTTCATTCATACAGCCAGAGGATAAGATAGATTTTTTTTTTCAAAGTCAAAGTCAAAGAGGATGGATGTGAGTTTTTATTTTGGCCATGGAAACAAGCAAAGTGCATATATATAATGATAACGGATTGCAGATGGAATGGAAACCACTGATTGTATTTCTTTTGGCGTTGGTTTATTGTGTATGGACGGAATTCTTTCTTTGTAGCAACTACTGGGTATGTTCACTTGCAACAAATGCAAGTTTTTTTTTTTACTGTGCTCTCTGAGTTTTATGGGAGGGAAAAGAAAATTTACTCGGTATAAATTTTTATGAAATAGCAACCTTATGTTTTTGTACATGATTTTGTTTTTGTATTTCAAATAATCAATATAGATAGATCTCAACTGCCAAAAACTGGTAACACCCAACCCAACATAAGGGCTGTTTTAATTCTGAAACCTACGAACCTATTAAATAAATTAAAATGCAAGAAGATTAAGATTAATAAATTAAACTAAAGCTAGAAATGTAAGAAAGATTTGACTAGTACACCAGAAAGCAACAGACCACCAGACCGAATGACATTTCTTTCCCTCCACCTATCAAACATGAGCTGCTCATTCTTCTCAAGCTCCAAATACTTGTTCATGTCCAAACATCCATCATGGCTTTCTCTTTCTCTTCTATTCGTTGAAGCAGCACTTTTATCATGTAGAGGTGGGTCCCAACTTGCATGGCTACTGCTGCTGCCTTGTTGTTCTTGGATCAATTCCAAATCCTGTACCATACAATCCAAAGTTGAAAATTCACTGGCACAAACTAACAAAATATATCTGATGAATAATTTAATTACCTGAGATGGTTCCCACAGTTTTGGTTTTGGGGGGGTTGTAGGAGTCTGTATTATTGGAGTTGAAGGAACAGCATCAGTGTCATCCCATTTCAACCAAGGTAGATTAACACCTTCCATTTCAACAGGAACAGACTTCACTCCTGCTGCTGCACCCACAGGACTAGGACTACCATTTTGGATTGGTTTTGTAGCTCCAACTAAGGTTGAACTCGTGTCACTTCTTTCACCATCAAAAGAAGAAAAATCTGTATCTTCAATATTTGATATGAAGTCTTCAAGATACCTCTCTGCTTCTTCGTTTAATCTTTTAGACATTCTGCTCCTATCATTGCTCCTCTGCAAGTTCAATACCACTACCCTTTAAAAACATAAATTCCTCTGCATTTCTCATTCTACTCCTCATCATAAAGGTTGCAACAATGTAGTCTTATACAACTATACCTTTCTGGAGTATGAAGCTTTCTGTGCATTAACATTGTTCTTTGAGTCAGGAAGCACCTCCCTAACAATCTTGTACCCATCTTCACCTTGATGCTAAAGAAAAAGATCATTTAAAGTTCCAGCTTTTTAACCATGAATATATACTAGATTAAACCTTATTACCTCTTTTGACTTTGTTGGGTGGTTCTTTCTTGTTGTAGTCATAGTCTTGTTTTGAAGACCATCGGATTTGCTTGAATGCAAGCGATCATGGACAGACAATGCAGAAGGCTTTCTTTCCATGGTCTGAATTTTTTTTAGAGAAAGATGCAGGAGTCAACAAATATATTTTCAAGCATCATGTTCATGACATTTAAAATTTTTAAATACAGATAAACCTGTTCAAGTCCTATCATGATTTCATTCACAGCAGATCGAAGCTCTTTTCTCATTGCTTGATAAAGTCCATGGTCAACATTGTCCCCAGTCGGGTGATCAATCTACAACATAAGATTGGATGATTAAAATTGCAGATATAAACAGTATAAATCCAGACACAATCATAAACCCCCCACACACTTCCACTATAAAAAGAAAAAAAAAAAAAAAAAAACACCTTTTTTTGTGCATAAACAGCTCGAATAGTCTTCTCAATTCCATTTTTCCCGTAACGGGCATCTCTTGAATCATCATCAGTCAATGCTGAAGACTGGCTCTGAGATTACCATAGACAGTGTACACCATTAAGACTTGTGTAAGATTTATTCATAGTTTCATACAGCTTTTCAAGCTAAAAGAATGTAACAAATATCAAAATAAACAGTAAATAATACTTGAGGACATGTTGGTTTTACCGAGTAGCCATCGTGTGACCTCCATTGAGGTGTTTGACTCATAGACCTGCTTAGTTTTCGATGACTTGAAGCAGTGGGCCTTTGAAATGAAGCAACCCGACTATTGCCATTGCCATTATTGATGCTCCTAGATTTGGGTTGATTGGTAGAACTCCTGGAAAGATCTATATCACTCTGTCAATCAGATAAGCAAATTTGATCAGCTATAAAAGGTTATGTGAAGATTGGAAGGCATTACCATTGAAGATTTGAGAAATTCTTTAAACATATTTCCCAAATTATGGAGCAAAATATGAACCCCAAGGTCAATTGAAAACCATCAAAAGATCTAATAGTTGGATGCAGACAAGAACGTAAATTCAGTTGGAATGCACACAAACAACATAGCTAAACACAAAGAAAACTATTTTTTAAGCTTGTACAGTAGCTGTGTTGATAGAAAGTAAAGAATGCTATAAAGAAACATAGGGTTTTAGTGATTCTTTCTTCATCAGAAGTTTGGTAGATCTGCTTGTCTTCTAACTTTCCATGGCTCCATATTACAATGAACAAAAATGGAGATATTTTCAAAGCTACTGCCTCAAAATGGCACTTCTTCAGATCAATGGGCCATAGATTTCATTTGAGAATTCTACTTTACTCTTATTTAGGTTCCATCTAAGATACTCAGCATACACATAACAGTATACAATCAAGTCCAAACTAAAATATACCTCAGAATCACTAATCTGATACCGTGCAACTGATACAGACCGCCTCCTCCTTGAATCAGCATTTGGAACAGCCCTAGTAGTACCACCAGCATTAGAAGGAGTACCATCGTTACGCCTCGACACAGACCTCCCACGCCTTTGAGACGAAGGTGTTACAGAACTAATCTCAGCATGTGGCACAGTTCGAATTGTACCACCAGCATTAGAAGCAGTATCACCGTTACGCCTTGACACAGACCTCCCACGCCTTTGAGAGGAACCCAGTACAGGACTAATCTCAGACTTCACACGAACAGGCCGGCTGCTTCTACTGCTTCCACTCTCATCATCTACCTCAGAGCTGTTATCCTTCCCCGAGAAAAACTCGATTGCTAGATCATCAAGACTAATTTCCGGGAAATCTGAACCTCTCACGGTATTAACAAACTTGCGCCTCGGAGTAGGAAGAACACCTGAATCAATCTCCGTTGGAATCGGCCGTGAGAATCTACTAAGACTTCTAGAACGTCTGTGAGCCTTAGACGCCGAAGAGGTCGGCGAATCGTTAGTTGAGGGCGATGAAGTTCCAATCGGATCTCTTTTCGTCGTCGACTTAAATGCCGATGTAGCCATCGGATCACAAACTTCACAAGCAAACAATGAAAATCGACATTAACAGTATCAAATTCAAAGCCAACTAACTCACACGGAAATGCAGATGAAGTTGTCACGAGCAAGGGTTTGATTGAAATGAAGAAGATTTCAAATTGGGCGGATTACGTGAGGATTCTGAATAATAATTTAAATTTGAAAAATATTGTAACTCTCGAAGCTCTTGAAAGAAAATTATACGACTTTAAAGCCCTATTTTGGGTTGGTGTGTACTTTATGGTTTAACAAATAATGAACAATAATAAAATAAGATTTATAAGGAGTTATTCACTATTTTTTATAAAGCAAAGGTAAAACTGTATTTTTTTTTTCAGATAGCTCAAGGTTTTAGAATTGATAAAACAAGACTCAATAAAATCATGAAAAAAAGGTGCACTGGTCACATGACCTAACGGAAAGGCAACATACATGGAACATTAGTTATGACCCTTTATTGTCAATTTGTGATAGTGTGGCGGTGGCCGGTGGGTTGGTAGGTTCATCATTCATGTTTTTTTTTCTCGATTTCGGATAAAATAAAGCGTTCTGCATTAGTTATTTTAAAGTGTTATTTGAATTTTTTGTTATTCAAATAAATAACTTGATTCCTAACAAAGTAATTTAAAAAAATTAAGTGTTTGTAGTAGATTGAGGTTGTTAGGTATTTTGTTTTATAGTGAACTTCACTAACAAAGGTTTTCGGGTTAGTTACCGCGCACCGATTAATCTTTCACTACAAACATGAGGCTATTAGGTTTTGAGTTAAGCCGAAAGCCAATTTAGAACCTATTTAGGTATTTTGGAGTTATTTAGTTATAAAGCTCCACCGAACAAATGTTAGGGTTTATGGTTATAAGTATTTATACTTAGATATTCTATTGTAATCACTTTGAAAGTAATTAAGAGTAATAGACGAGTTCTTCAATTCCTACCCATGGACGTATGTAAAATTGATTGAACCAGATTAATTCACTATGTTGTTTTTTTTCCTTGCGTAACAAGTGGTATGAAAGTTGCAGTTATTCGGGCGATTATATTTTTTGATTGAAGAAATGTAGTCTTACAAGTTCAATTTGGAGAAGTTCAATAGTTCGAATGACTTCACTTTTGTGGAAGGTGAAAATGAAGGCTCTCTAGTTCAATATGGTTGTACGACAACATTAGAAGGAGATGCAAAACTGCCAAACGAGATGACGACGGATGTGAAAGCTAATATTCTGGCAAAATTGAATGGTGTGATTATGTTATGCTTGACCGACGAAGTGTTATGAGAGGTTGTGGATCAAACGATTACTGTTTAGTTATGGGAGAAACTTTGTGACATAACTCTCAACAACATTTATATACATTCATGTTGACCAAAAGTACCTAGGTAAAATATCATCTACGTAATTTTGATCGTATTCATGATCTATATGGAATTGACGTTAAAAATGAAGATGAGGACCAAACTCTTATTTTATTATGTTCTCTATCATATTTGTATTAGAATTCCATTGATAATATGTTGTATGGTAGGACAACAACTATTGTCAATGACATGAAGGATGCCTTGTTGTCTAGGGACCTGAAACATATGGTTTCTAGTAATGAACATGGTTCTGGTTCAGGTATGTTTATTGGCATGTGGGGATCACAAGAAAAGATGGTTGGAAACAGGTGGAAGTCACATTCTAATTATAAAGTTTAAATAACGGTTAAATGTTATCAATGTAAAGAATATGTGCATATTGAAAGACATTGTCAACAACAAAGGAATGGAAGTAGTAATGCAAAACCAAGTGACATCAGCAGTGATGTTGTGTTCAAGACATTTTTAACGAAGGAGGCATATGTGAGGTGTTGTGGTTATGTTGACACTTGAATCGCAAACACATGTACATCTCATTATATTGTGTGAAATTATATTGCGTTCACACGTACAATAAATTTGGATGATGACGAGATACGGCGTATCAAGGGCACTAACACGATGTAGATTAAAATGCATGATAATATGGTCTAAATCTAAATAGTTTGCCTAATCTTAGGAATACATTTGATTTTTCTTGGAACTTTATCCAAACTTGGACTCAAGTACTATGGTGAAGATGCTTGGGTAAAGGTCATAGAGGGTGCTCTCATGGTGATGAAAGGGAAAATATGACATAAAATTTACTTTCTGGAAGGTACAATGACATGAACGATGGGTGTTATTTAATCTTTGGAGAAGTGGGATGATAAATCATATTTATAACATCATTAATTGGGTCACATATGCGAGAAAATAATGTTAATCTTGAGTAATAAAAAAATGTGATAAAACTAGAAAAATGGGAAAAATTAAAAAAACTAACAACTTAAAAAACATAAGGGTTTTCTTGATAATACGCTTTCTTGATAACACTCATTTCAAATTCCATTTGAACACATTTAACACCGAAAGAGAAGATATTAGGGTTGAACCAAGTGCCCTCAAGGTGGATGTAACATCCCTAAAAATCGAGACCAAAAATTTTTGTTTTTAATTACGTTACTTGTAAAATTGATTGAGGCAAAACAGTATGGATGTCACACCAAACCACAAAACCATAGTTACATATCTCAAAAACCATAATGTCAAATAATATAATGTCATAGTACAATCCTAGGGTTCTCAAATGCAGAATCATGTGTGTGCGATGTGCTGCTACCCTGCCGGCTCCTTCCCTTTAGATGCAGAGGTACCTGAAACTAAAAACTGAAAATCGTAAGCACAAAGCTTAGTGAGTTCCCCCATCGTACCACATACCAAACAATCATACATACTATCGGGTAATTCTGGGGTGCCCGACCTATCAATGTCAAGCCATTATGGGGTGCTGACCTACCCGTGTCAGGCTGTTCTGGGGTGCCTGCCTACCCTCTAGTCTATTTCACCCGGTCACGGGGACTATTTCACCCCTACCACTATCACATAATAATATATCATAATCATGTTGTCAGACATATTTGGGGTGTCCGACCTACCTTTCGGTCTTAACGACCGAATCATGGGACTATTCCCCTCCTACTACCACTATCACATATAGCATATCATATTGGCACATAGAACACATCAGGTAGTAGCAAACTAGACGATTATCACAAAGACAATCATCTCAACTATAATCAACTACTAGTGGTATGACCTTGGTGCCTTAAACCCACTTCTACCGGAAGGTAACACACTTCAATGTCATGTCATGTCTGTATTGTCCTCGGTATGGAAATCAACTCTTCTTGACTTCTCAATCCCTACACAACATCCTTTCTAAATTACCATCTCATGCTCATAACCCTTACAAAAGTCAACTCAAGTCAAAAGTCAAAGTTAAAGTCAAAACACTGGTCAAAGTCAACATCTGGTTGACTACACTCGTCAAGTCCCCACGTCCGCAAAAGCTACCACCCCGTCCCTACTCGTCGAGTCTAGCAAGAACTCGACGAGTTCACCTTCATCAACATATTGGACCTTCTTCAACCGACTCGTCGAGCTCATGCTTGAACTCTTCGAGTCCATCTTCATCCATATGAAATGAGTCCAGTCTATGACTAGCCGAGTTCCCCCCTGAACTCGTCGGGTTCGTCTTCATGTGGTTGGGACATTGCCTTGAACTCGCCGAGGTCTATGATTTCCAGGTCCCTAATGAGCTTAAACAACTGAGGGACCTTCAATCTTAGCATCTGGTCCATTAACAAAAAGGATTTGATGGAAAATATGTCCCGACTCGCCGAGTCCCATGACCGATTCGCCGAGTAGCTCTTTGTCCCAAACTATACAGTCGGTTATAATGGGTCTTAATGCATCAAAACCATAGATCCGACCTCCTAAGGTCCATTTTATATGTAAAGTTCCAATCTTGACGTCCATGCATGGGGTTTTTGGCTCAAAAGGCCATAAAAATAGGTATACAAGAAGCATGGGTCTCCCATGGCCATAAAGTTGGCACCTCTATGCCATGGGAACCCTCAATGGTTCCAGATTTGAAGTGTAGCTCCAAACACACTTACAAAATCCGATTATAACTTCATTAACTCATGAAAAGGGTAGAAAATATCCCCAAAACAAGATCTAAGAGATATATGGTCAAGGTTCAAGCTTTTTACCTTGAATGAACTGAGAATGAAGCAAAACCTATGGATCTACTAGCTCCCACTCGAATTCCCAAGCTTCATTCTTTTCTTCCAACTTCAAATGCACACAAAAGTCACCAAAAAGCTGAAGAACACTCAAAAGAGGCTTAGGGTTCGAGTTAGGGCTTTCTTTGGGTTAGGAGGAACAATGGAGGTTAGGTTGGGGGAGTTATAAGTTGTTTAAATAGGGTACAAACCCCAAATATTAGGGTTTCATCCAGACAATCCTATTTGTCGAGTCGGTCTCCCGAATCGTCGAGTAGGTCACTTATCCTACCGATCCAAAGTTGAGTCTACTCGACCAGTTGGGCCTCCAACTTACCGAGTCCCAGAGCAAAACATGAGTTTACTTTAATTAAAATACGTATCAGGAACCGAGTGTTACAGTGAAAATGATTTTAATTATGTTAGCTTACTTATTAACTTGTATACTTGATGAAATGAGCATAAAACCTTATTATATAGGCAACACGATTGGGAGCATGATTTACAACGTCAAAGTGACTAGAAAGGAAGAAACCTGATTATATAGGCAACACGATTGGGACCATGATTTACAACATCAAAGTGACTAGAATGGAAGAAACCTAACAACAAAAATTATCAACTAATTGCATTTATCTTTAGAGTAAATTACATGCATAATCCATATGATTTGGAGTAATCTATGAGTTTGATTTCTAACTCTTTTTTTTTACCACGATCCATCGATATGGTTTTGTTTTGTTGCATGCTTTGTCCATCTCAACAATAAATTAACTATTTATTTCTTTTTTATTTTGTCATTTGTTTATATTTTAAACTAAAAAAAGACAATAAACCCAACTCATACCCCACCCTAACTAAAC